ATCTATCGGCAAAAATAATTGAATTAAGACAGTAGAATTTTAAAGGCATTAGGAAGGACTGGATTGGACTTCAAATCATTAACTAAACTTTCTAAATCTTTGTGAATGTGAAAAGCCTCAAGAAAATCCAATTCGCCTATGGAAGAAGCCTTTTGGATGATTTTTGCAGACCCAAAATCAAAATTATGGTTAAAAGTCCAGCTATGATACGCTATTGAAGACTTGTTAATTTCCCCTTTTTTGACATAAGATTCATGTTCCTTGATACGAAACTTCAACGCTCTTTTTGTTTGGCCAATATATCTTAAACCACACTGACATGATATACTATAAATTCCCCAAGAATTCAAGACAGAAACGCAATCTTTTAGAATCGAAGGGTGAATTTTATTAATAGGGGAGAAACCGACTTGAAAATTGAATTTCTGGAGAATCCGTGCAATTTTATAGCTAACAGAAGGATAAAATGGAAGCACGACAAGGTCATTGATATTATTTCTAACAGTGGAATGTCTTCTTTGATGGGAATCTGAAAATTTTTTGACGGCTTTATCAATAATCACGGGAGAAAATCCACGGTCAATCGCAACTGCTCTCAAATAATTAAGTTCATTGGTAAGCAAAGATTCAGAGGAACAAACTTTTAGCGCGCGGAAAACATAATAGTAAAAAGAAGCCATTTTTTGCTTAACAGGGTGGCATGACTTGGCATGGGGTGGTAAACAAACTGCAAAGGGTTTACGGTACACAGTGGTGCTAAAATCGGTTTCATTGCGGATTATAAGAATATCGAGGAAGGGGAGGGAATTGTTGGATTCAATTTCAAGAGTGAATTGGATGGCTGGATCAATTGAATTCATAATAGATAGAATCTCGGATAAATCCTCTTTATAACCGTCAAAAAGTGCGAAAGTGTCGTCAACATACCGAATCCAAAGACGAAAAGATAATTTATCAAATAATTTCATCTCAAAATAGTGCATATAAATGTCAGCAAGTACCGGACTGAGAGGATTACCCATAGCCAATCCTTCAACTTGACGAAAATATGCATTTTGGAAAACAAAGTGGGTTTGACTTAGAGAAACTTTAGTAAGCGAAACCAACTCATTAATTTCAGTATGTGTGAAGTGAAATTCCCGAAGCCTAGTTTCAAGACAATTTAGTGCTCCTTCGACCGGAACATTAGTAAACAATGATTTGACATCAAATGAAACCATAATGGAACGAAGTGGGGAAATATTTTTAAGTTTATCAATGACTTCAACAGAATTTTTTACAGTGTGAATATTGTTATCAAGTAGAGGAGAAAATCTGGAAACTAAATATTTGGCCAAAGGATATGAAGCAGTACCTATGTTGGAAACAATTGGTCGAAAAGGAATACCGGTTTTGTGGACTTTTGGAAGAGCATAAAGTCTAGCGCAATTAGTAATAGGCGGAATAAGTGATTTCTTCAACTGAGTTGGCAGAATGTGGGAAGATTTAATAGCACTTTTTACTTTCATGAGGTCCGAAGTTGAAGGATCTTTAGGGATCGAGCAGTATGGGCCTTCATTTATCAATTTAGAGACTCCAGTAATATATGTGTGTTTGTCCATAACAACGATCTGTCCGCCCTTATCAGCTTTAGAGATAATGATATTAGTATCAGAATTAATTTCACGTAAGATCTCATTTTCCTTTTTGCTAAGATTAGAACCCAAAGATTTATTGTTAAAATTAACGTTATGAGTAATTAGGTGGCGGATTGTATCCTTCTGCGTTTCCGAAATTTTGGAGAATTTAAAGGCTTTCTCTATAGGGGCGATGATTTGAGGAATTGAAGGTTTAGATGTCTTTGAAAAGTTGAAATTATATTTTAATACTTTTAACTGATCCTCCGAAAGATTCCTATTGGAGATATTAACGATGGAGTTAACGTTTACAGTGGGAAGATCAGCTAGATAATTGGGACTATCCGACTGGTGTGTGAGTTTTTGGAATTTAGAAATGAGCACATTTTTATGCCGTTGACAAACGGTATCGGTTCTAGACCAGGATGTATGTTCAAATGAGGAAAAATTTTCAGTGGAATTAGCAATTTTTAAATGGAGGTAATATAATTCAAATTCAATTTTAGATAAACGTTTGCGTGTGTCCCTTATAATGTGACGAAGAAGTGCCAATTTGAATTTATGCAAAATTTTTGAAACGTGAACGGAAGCTTTAAGGCTACATTTCACATGTATAAATTTGGGAATGAAATTTTGATGTTTGCATTTAAGTAGAAACTGTAGATGATTCAAGAATTTCGTACGCTTAAGGCGTAACTTACAAAATCGGTTCCTGTCAGTGGACATATTGTGAAAAGGGCACAAGCAAGAAACAAGTGAACAAAAGAAATGTAATTCCGAAAGTCCAAACAAGTAATTACTTATAACATGAAAAAAACACCAATAAATAATGAAGACAATTTTCATCAACAAATGACAAAAACATTCCAAAAGGAGAGAAACATCCAATACTGAAAAACCAATAGCCACGTGGAAAGAAGCAACGAAAGTCAAAATCGTGCACGTGGTAAACCGAAAAAATATAGAATTACCTCGAAAATGCCGGTTGATAGCATAAACCAAATCCGAAAAAATGATGGCCACGTGGAAAGAAGTAAATAAAATGGTGCACGTGGTAAAACAATAAACAGTAAAATATTCTCGAAAATGCCGGTTGATAGCACAAACTAGACTAGAAGAGAAACACGCTAATGTGACAATCAAAACCGTGAAAAACAACCTTATATTTAGCGTAGGTATAATGAAACACTCAATCGATTTCGAGGGCCGGTAAATGAACGAGAAGAGGAGAAAAAAGTCCACAAAACCGGTATTCCTTTTCGACCAATTGTTTCCAACATAGGTACTGCTTCATATCCTTTGGCCAAATATTTAGTTTCCAGATTTTCTCCTCTACTTGATAACAATATTCACACTGTAAAAAATTCTGTTGAAGTCATTGATAAACTTAAAAATATTTCCCCACTTCGTTCCATTATGGTTTCATTTGATGTCAAATCATTGTTTACTAATGTTCCGGTCGAAGGAGCACTAAATTGTCTTGAAACTAGGCTTCGGGAATTTCACTTCACACATACTGAAATTAATGAGTTGGTTTCGCTTACTAAAGTTTCTCTAAGTCAAACCCACTTTGTTTTCCAAAATGCATATTTTCGTCAAGTTGAAGGATTGGCTATGGGTAATCCTCTCAGTCCGGTACTTGCTGACATTTATATGCACTATTTTGAGATGAAATTATTTGATAAATTATCTTTTCGTCTTTGGATTCGGTATGTTGACGACACTTTCGCACTTTTTGACGGTTATAAAGAGGATTTATCCGAGATTCTATCTATTATGAATTCAATTGATCCAGCCATCCAATTCACTCTTGAAATTGAATCCAACAATTCCCTCCCCTTCCTCGATATTCTTATAATCCGCAATGAAACCGATTTTAGCACCACTGTGTACCGTAAACCCTTTGCAGTTTGTTTACCACCCCATGCCAAGTCATGCCACCCTGTTAAGCAAAAAATGGCTTCTTTTTACTATTATGTTTTCCGCGCGCTAAAAGTTTGTTCCTCTGAATCTTTGCTTACCAATGAACTTAATTATTTGAGAGCAGTTGCGATTGACCGTGGATTTTCTCCCGTGATTATTGATAAAGCCGTCAAAAAATTTTCAGATTCCCATCAAAGAAGACATTCCACTGTTAGAAATAATATCAATGACCTTGTCGTGCTTCCATTTTATCCTTCTGTTAGCTATAAAATTGCACGGATTCTCCAGAAATTCAATTTTCAAGTCGGTTTCTCCCCTATTAATAAAATTCACCCTTCGATTCTAAAAGATTGCGTTTCTGTCTTGAATTCTTGGGGAATTTATAGTATATCATGTCAGTGTGGTTTAAGATATATTGGCCAAACAAAAAGAGCGTTGAAGTTTCGTATCAAGGAACATGAATCTTATGTCAAAAAAGGGGAAATTAACAAGTCTTCAATAGCGTATCATAGCTGGACTTTTAACCATAATTTTGATTTTGGGTCTGCAAAAATCATCCAAAAGGCTTCTTCCATAGGCGAATTGGATTTTCTTGAGGCTTTTCACATTCACAAAGATTTAGAAAGTTTAGTTAATGATTTGAAGTCCAATCCAGTCCTTCCTAATGCCTTTAAAATTCTACTGTCTTAATTCAATTATTTTTGCCGATAGATGGCGTTACCTCCTCGCACTTGGTACTACCAGAGGGTATAAAAATCCGTTCAGTGGTTGCTTTCCATTATTTGAAGTTCAGATTTTGAGCGTAATGTGCATTTGCCCCTCGCTCCCTATTTTAACTTCGCTAATATTTCTTTATGCTTGATCAGACAGCCTGGCTCAGTAAAAGTAGGCGGCCAGTGCAACTCTGATTAAAAATCTAGTTATAACGACGTGCAGTGCTGATAAGCACGGAATCGAAATATGAAAAAAAAAATTGATATGTTTTCCAAAAACAGTCCGATTTTGTGTCCAAATACCTGTGTTAGAAAATACTATATTATAAATCTAATACATATCCCAAGTCGCGCTTTCGAGACATGAAAAACTCAATTTGAATTTTGTCAATAAGCCCAGTAGAACGGGAGATACAGAACTGTCACGTTTGTTTTTTGTCCCGTTTGCAGTGTACGTACAGACGTCACTTAAAAAATCTCCTCTGAATCCATTTTAAATCAATTTTATAATCCGTTTGGGGAAAGAGTCCTTTATTCTGTCCTGACGTATATTTTTATTGAAATATGATACCCGGATATTTTGTGATTACAGTACTTCCTTTACTACAAGGAAGCAAGGAAGTAAAAAATAGCACTACATAGCCAGTACATGCGTTGAATAATAATTATGGCATTATTCCTGATTAACGAAGGTATTTCTACTAAAGATCTGCGATTACATGATTAACAAACACATCTCTACTAACAGTTTTTAAAACTCTTCACGCTGTCCACAGTTTTTCAAAAATCTTATATATTCATTTATTCTTGCAGTCTCTGGATGGATTTGCATTTGCCCTCAGCGCCGACGGCAGGTTTTTGTACATTTCGGAAACTGTTTCAATATATCTCGGACTTTCACAAGTAAGTTGTCTTTTATTTAATTCATATTCATTATTTTGGTTTTTGACCAAATTTAAACGAATAAACAAAATTCTGATTGCCAGAAATTTAATTAATGGGAATAAATGATTCTGCGATATGTTATTAAATAAGTAAAATTTGATGACATAAAACATTTATTGAAAACTGCACTCGGGTTTAGTAAGTTTATAACAACTGAATGTAACGATGCTTTATTATGATTTTACTCTAATAAACACATATGAAATGCTGCAGGTAAATAATATTGTAACTGTAGAATCAATAATAGCTCATGGTTTATTTTGCCATTAAAATTTATCATTCTCAATTTGTCTAGTATACAAAGCAAGATAAAATATCTCGTTGTAACGAAAGTTTTCTGCCAAAAAAACGCTCTTATTAAAATTGGGACTTGAAGATAAAGATGAAATGTTTTACAGCTTTCACAATACATTGTTCTAAAGCAAGTCGCTTTCTTTTAAATGCCAAAAATCAATTGAGAAAATCTAATTAACCACTTGCGCTAAAAAGACGTGCCACGCACGTCGAGATGCTTTTGTCTCATACCGCGAGCGACGTGAACGCCACGTCGATAGGCATTTATCGCAAAAATGAAAATAACGTGGTGCACACGTCGTCTAACAACGAGATTGTTTATTTCTCGAGTTACAGCTCTGGATTGCACTCGCAGATGCGGAGCGGCGTAAATGAGACACTTTACGGCTTGTTATATTGTAGCGCACGGCACCGCAACCGTGAAGTTTAGACGTAGCGCAAGTGGTTAAACACTCTAACGGAACTGTTTGAGCAGACGATATTTGCGGTGGTGGGAAATTTTCGTTGTAACCAGATAGTTTTGCACGACGATTTTGAAGTCATTAATGGCATTTGTTCCTACAACCATCTTCCAGCTTTCTGGTAGCTTGAAAATCGCATCCTTGTAGAAGTAATTTGAATTCAAATCGGAAACTGAAAGATTGAAAGATGGACATCACCCTGATCTTTAGATGTTTTGCCGTCTAGAAAAAGCTGAAAAAGATTGAAAAAAGATTGAAAGATATGATACGTGGATGGAAGAATGTTTGATGAAAAATGATTTCTCAGTTGAAATCTTCGATTTTTGTGGTTGATCATCCTCGTGTTATGTGAACTACCATTGTCTCGGTGAAAAATTACACCACTGCTTTTAACCATTCTGAGCAAAGCTTAATACAAACGCTCGAACTGATGGCAGTATGCTTCTGAACTGTTGGTCAGTTTCATTTCAAAGTGGTCAGTGTTCTTTATATCCCAACATCATGACATACTTTTTTTAAATGGAGTTCAGGTTAACTGCTGGAAAAGTATTTTACCCTGGACTCGGCGTTTTTTTTTCTCCCAACTGGACTTTTAACCCTTTCCGGCACGCTACCTTTTAATTTGGAGTTTTGATTTAAAAAAAAAAAAAAAAACTTCTATATCTCTCTCATTCTACTCTGCCGAATGAAGAAAATTAACTCGCATTTGTCATGTTTTAGAAAGCGCGACTTGAGATATATTATATTTATATATAGCATCCTTCGAACACCGATATTCTGACTGAAAATGGGACTTTTTTCTAAAAGGACATACTTTTCTTTCATGTTTTTGATTTTACAACTCAAAGTATGTCAAAGAGCCAAATTTTGTAAAAGTCACACGAGTAGTTTTTAAAAAAGTAGCCCTCAAATTTTACCTCCTCAATGTTCATTGAATGTGGCATAAATTAATAATATCTCTTTTTCTGTATAAGGTATTTCTCTGTCTTTTTAACGAGCCTTCGTGGTGTAGTGCTCTGCACGCTCAGCGCGTAATTGAGAGGTCCGCGTTTGGATTCCCGGCGAAGGCGTTGCTAATTTTTCATCTTGTCTGCTTCCAAAAAATACCTAATGTCTCTACATTTTTATTAAACTTATTGGATTTTTTCTTTCACAATACGAAAATGAGTTTGAATCGAAATAAAATCCGAAGCTATTTTCGGATTTGCTTTTAAAATTTGTATTTTACTCATTTTTATAAATTTTTCGTAAACGTTTTGGATTATAACCTATAACATTTGTACCATCCTTTAAAGTAGATGTATTGCTAGGTATACCTGCAAAAAGATTAGAACTTTTTTATTCAAAATCCCGAAGATATACGTTAACCGTCCGGAGCACTTTTCATTTTTCTACGAAGAGCCTTTGTATGTTACTTTTCACATCTTAATTCCTTCGTCCACCAGTTAGTCTTCGTATTCTTGTTGTTGTTATGGAGTTTAAAGGTGTTGGTCGCTGTCTCCTGTATTGTTTTAATAATTGTTTCCGTTATATCATGGACTGAATCGGGTGATGTGCATTTATCTAAAAGTTTCTCCGCATACTGGAGAGAGGTGGAGAATTTTCTTCCAAACTGCCTTGCTTTCTGCTTTGAGATTGAAAATCTTCTGAATTTGTGGTCGGGGATTTCTTCTGATAATTCAAATGTAATGTAGTTGTGATCCGAGTGACTTGAGTCATCAAGAACTTTCTATTCTTGTATTTTGTTGGAAATACTCAATGTTGACAGTGTCAGGTCCGGCCATCCTGTACCATATTCTGTTTCAAATGTAGGAGTGTCTGAAGAGAAATTATGTACATACAGATTGCGTGTAGCAATAAAATTCGCAACTGTTAGTCTTTTGTTATCTGCATTACTGTAATGCCCCATTTAATGGTGGGCATTAAAATCACCTGTAATCACGTGCTGTGATCCTCTGAGATTACCTAATATTTTCTCTCTGGAGATTCGGCCGCATAATCCTCTTGTGGTGAGCAGTAAATGGAAGTTATTTTATGAAGAGCTGTTCATATTTACAGTTAAGACTTATCACATTTCTATGGCTTAATATGATTGTAGGGGACCATTTGATATTGGTGACTATAATACACGCACCTGGGTCGACCAGAGGGTTTTTTTGGGTAGTTTGAAATATTTGCCAGTGAAGGGGAAGGCATCTAATTTCAACTTTTAAGCAAATTCATGACAGTAACACTTAGTCAACCAATATACTGTTTTCTCGCTGTTTTCTTCATGCCTTCATAATGCAACGGTTAGTACACTCAGCGTGTATTCGAGAGATCCAGGTTCGTGACCTGGAGAGGGCATTGCTCCTTTTTTATGTCTTCCGCTTTAAAAATAAATAAATAAAGCTAACCTAATATCTCTGAAATAGCACCTATAGCTTAAGTCGTACTATGTTTGAAATTGAAGGACAAATATAATAAAACTTCAATCATAATTGTCTAATTTCTCAATTAATTTATTAATTGTACAAATATATTAATTCAGAAAAAAATGATTACAAAGATACATTTTGATCTGCAGCAAATAAGTCATGTTCTCACGCTTTGCACTTTAGGCCATTGAATCATATTCTGTTCGCGGTCTTCGTCACAGATATTACAGGGAGACGAACACGATGTGAAAAAATATGGTTGACTAGAAGATAACGCTTTTTGCTGGAAGAGGCACAGTTGGTGTGATAATACGCCTAATATTTAAAAGGTACAACTAAAGCGGTGGCACGACTTACGCTACTTCTCTTTCTTCGCAGGTCGAAATGACTGGAAGCAGCGTCTTCGACTATATTCACCAGCAAGACCATGCAGAATTAGCCGAGCAGCTGGGAATCAATCTGGCCCAGTCGCAAACGACAATGGCATCCAGCCCTGGTTCCGTGGCCTCTGATGAAGGCTCTTCATCCTCGGCTCCCGGGGGAACATCTACTCCTACTGGACTAGACAGACCTCGTAAGAATTTTAATTTTTTTTAAACTGTTTTCCTTCATTGTATTTTACTAGAAGTTTGAATTAATGAGGAGTTAATAAGAAATTAATTAATGAGGAGTTAATATCAAATTAATTAATGAGGAGTTAATAAGAATTAATGAGAAAAGCAATTCAATGAATAGATTTTATTGTTATTTTTCAGGATATTCGTCTGATATCAAGGGTTTTAGGATTTATGTGATCGATTATGGGTTTCAGCAAATCTAAAATGATGCTGTTCTTCAACAGCAAACTTATTATGGTTGCCAGTAAAAAAAGTATTTAAGTTATAATAACCCGAAAATGATTATGATAACAAACTGCAGTTTCTCATGGAATAAATCGTTTTATATTCTTCTAGTTTTTCCAACTTGATTTTTATATAGGTAGCTTTGTAGAAAACAAGAAGAGTTTTATTTTAAACACCTAGGCTTTTGAGGTTTTACTATCGCCAAAATCCTACGATGATCAAAATCACTGAAACTAGTACCCACGAGAACTCTGATTTGCATTCCACCAGTGTATCTTTGGTCTTTAAATTTTAACGTTAGAACAGCTCAGCTTCTTTAGCGTTCGAAATGTTTTTCTTTTTAATGGCAAGAAACATTAATTCAGGCACTTTTCGTCCCATATCTTGAAATCTAATTTGGAAACTCTCCTTGATTCTTTGAAAATATTTCGAGAAAAAATATTGTTCTGCTTCTTAATACTGTCCAATCCAGTTATTTGACCACAAAATGCCCTTGCTTGAAGTGCCTGTCATATATTGGCAGATAGCAGTTTCTTTGAATGGTGAACCATTTCAGCAGTGCTTCCCCAATATCCTTACGCTCGGCCTTTCTCCCTTTTTTTTACTCGTACCAAATATTTGCTCCATGAGTAAAAACTATCGAGTCTCGATGTTTTTCCCAGTAGTATTAACTGTAGGTGTAAAAGAATGTATGAAGTTTTCAACTTTTGGAAAATATGAAAAGTGAATACAATCTTATTATTCATCTATTCTGTCCAATGTCCAATGCATTTACTTCTCCAAAAACATGTACGATTGCAAAGCAAAATGCCAAAAAATATAATACCGCCATAGCACAGAATATCCTCAGGATGTCCTATTTGCGTCGCAATATCCTCGGACATACTTAGGATATCCTGAGTATGTTGATTCTCAGATGTCCCGAGGACACTGTAATTTAACGTCCCGAGGATGTCTTGTTTAATTCGCTATGTCCCGGGATATGTCAGAATGCCCTGAAGATGCTGATTCTCTGACATTCCGAGGGCTTTGCAAATTTTACACCCTGAGGATATACCTACTGCATTTTCCCGAGGACTTCGTTGACAAGCATTCTGAGAATATCTGTTATCAATTCTACTTGTTTGGGGTTTTCGAATTTGCGCATTTCAAATTATACACATTCTTTAATTTTTCATACGTATTTTGCTATGAGTTGTTTCTAACTATCGTTCAACAAAAATATTGATATCCAAGGTTAGTCTTGTCATTTTGTAATTAATTTTAACTGCTATTTTTCCTGGCATTTAAAAAAAATATTTAAGCATAGAAAGATATTTTTAGTGTACTAACTGTTTCTAGAATATTTATTAAATTCTACATAACGTTCGAAAGTCCTGTAAAAGACCTAAAGAATGCAAAATCGCCCCTTCCACAGACAAGAAAGGACTTGGTCAGTATTTTAAATACCGGAATTAAAACAAACTGATAAAGATACAAAATGTTCCTTTTCTAAAAGATGAATTCTAAACGAAGAATGCACATTCCCAAGCTTATACTTCCTCTTTTCTTGAATAGCAAAAAGTTCCATCATAACATCAGCTTTAAAGAGAGATTTGTGTGAACATCGTGAATGGAATGAAAGAACCCATTCAAGTTCTTTGGTGTCGCAAACTATGTTTACTGCGTATTTTGGTTCTTCAGAAACTAGATGTTATATCAGTTTGGCTTTTGTTTGGAATGTATAAAAAAGTAATAGTGAAGATATAAGGACAATAATGTAAAAGTGTGTCCTGGTAAATTAATTTGCGGGGGGGGGAGATATGCTTCCTAACATACGAAATTTAGATTATTTTAAAGATCAGGAATACTTTACTTTAGTTAAAACTTGTAGAAATACTGAAAACTTCACACAAAATTTCATTCATAGAACACGCAGAGTTCTTGAAATTTGATTTTCATGCAATGGAAGTTCGCCATAGAGGTATAAAATAACGTAACGTGCATAAAAAGTAAAGGTGATAGGATAAAGTTCATTGCAGATATATTTCTGAATATCATGATTTGCCTGAACGTCAGTAATTATCAGATAACATTAGACAGCGGATGCTCTTAATAAATGTTTCCTAATAAATGGAAGACCTCAATATGCTTAAAAAGGTAATGTTTTAATCATGAAATTTGCTTAACAATATGCAAAAGAGCTAGATTTTTGTGATGAATTAATTGAATTATATGAAAAATATAAATATTTCGAGTTCAGAAAAATTAATTTATGATACTTTCATAAATTAAACAAGTTAATATATTCTACAAAAAATGAAGAGGTTGGAGGTAAAAGTCTAACATTTCTGAACGACGATAAATTTAACTTTCCTGGATGAACTGATTCTGGAACATCAAAAAAATATGTTGATGAATATTTAAATACAAAATATGAGCATAAACAATATAGAGCCATTATTCGGAAAACAATTTTATTTTCACTTTTTTTTCCAGTTTTCTGATACATTGTCAGCAGCACATGTCAACATTTATTCAATTACCCTTAGTCAAATTAAAATATGTTACCAAAATTACAATTTCTCTGTTATTAGAAACGTTTCGGATACTCACTAGGCAACTGCAACAACAATATTTGTATTAGAAATAAACTTCAAAATTAAATCTAAAATTTACATTTCACATCTCTGAAGATTTGAAATGTTTTTGCAAAAAAGCCCCTTCCCGGATGGCATTATTTTCCTCCTAAATAATCTCGTCTTTTCGGGGCTATTTCAAGTGCCACACGGGCTTTCTCATCTCTTCTTTCTTTCCCCTCCTTTTTCGGCTTCCTCCTTCCTTGTTCCTGTAACTCATAAGAAACCGCATTATTGCAGCCCCCTTTCTCACACTATAGTTCAATACTTCTTATATATTTATTTCACACTTTAAAAATTATAATTCAATACTACTTACTTGCCGAGGGTAGAACTTGAGACCATTCTGTCGAAGCGAAGTATCTTGCCAACCTGTCTCTGGGGCCCCGGAGGAAATCGATTCTCTTAACTACACTAGCCTAAACCGTTTCTAATACCTGTAGTTATCTTTCATACTTTTCCTAAACTACAGATGCGATTCTTTTTTTTCCCAGTTCCCGTGATGACATTAAACAACAATACGTCCTATAAAGGAATGGACAGATCCTTTTGTATTCGGATGAAATCTACGCTAACCAAACGAGGTTGTCACTTCAAAAGCTCTGGATACAGGGTAAGTTTTTTTTCCCTTCCACTCTTCAGCAATCTGAAAAGTAAAAACAAATACGATTACTGGTTAAAGTTATAAACCAATGTCTAAACACTTCGATTATCTGAAAAGCAAAGTAAAGCTGGAGTTCTTTCATCCCCATACGCTAACGCTTCAAATATTCCAAATTAAATTAAAAAAATATTCCAAAATCTTTCATGGAGGTTTTATAAACGGTCACAAATATATGAACGAAGTCTTAGAATCATATGTAAGTCTGTGTAGAATTGCTATTGCCTCAGACGTTTTGCTAATGAATGATAACGCTGGTCTGTGTCGACCATCTCTGGTATCAGAATATTCGGAAACAGAAGATATCTCTTCAGTGGATTGACCAGTCTATTCAACACACTTCAGTCCTACTAAGCATGCATTGGATAACCGAACTGCAGCGAGCCCGATGTCTGTCAGGATTTTCCAGGATCTGAAAAGAGCACTTTCAGGAGATTGACGTGGAATTTCAAAACAATCCCCTGAACTTTATGAAATTAAGATGTGAAGATCCCATACCTGTCCGAAGTCTCCATACCACATATCAAATAAAGATTTCTCTATCAGTTCCTATAAATATGACTTAAAATTTAATGTTTTGAGAATGATCAATTGGCAAACATGGTGATTTAAATCAAATACTATAAAATCCCTCGTTACCGCCAATATCAAAATAAAGGCACTTTTGAAGGTCTAAATTTAAATCCGAAATTCGAGATAAAAAAATATAAAATGGGGTAAGAAAGATTGAAAGCATCTGTATTGTGTTTCTGCTTCCTACCATAACAAGTCTTGTCCAACCAATGAATTATCCAGAATACAAAAGATAAGCGACCAATTTCTTTTTTGTTCCGTGATGTACGAACTCTGAAGAACGAATTTTATCTCGAGAAGAACTTTGTAAATTAAAAAAGAAACTTTGTAAATTACTCGGCACAAAATCCAAACAACACCTTTACAGCCACAGCCATGATAGAGAGGTTTAATCGAACTACCTTTAATAAACTCTCGCTAATTGTTTCCAGAAATCAACAGGACTGGAACCACACGTTACCTCTGTTTATACTGTCTCACCGTAGTGTTATTCCGATCCCAGACGATCTTTGGTCATCAGCTTCGTTGGCCTTGTGATTTATTGTTTGATTGCCCTCTGGATGCGCCCTCATCGCCTGAGGCGCCATTCAAGATCTTCAGGCATGGTTTGAAATGATGCATAATTTTGCTCGACAGTGAGTCAACTTAGCAATGGAAAAGATGAAGACTCGATACGACATGAGAGCTGCAGGACATCAATTTAACAAAAATGGCAAAGTGTGGTTATGGAATCCAAATCGAAGAAAAGGACTTTCTCCTAAACTGCAATCACTCTGGGACGACAGGTAAAAGTGCATGGAGCATCAAAAACTTCACTATAGAATCAAACAAGGTATTGTCTCAATACACTAACAAGCTAGAGTATGAAAAACTTCAACTGACTGTATGCTATTTCTGAGTAATACTGGAGTTATACATCAAGAGTTTTTACATTTAAACATAAGGAAGTAAATAACGTAAAATTACATACAAAGTTGCATAAATAATCCATGTTTAGAATACTCATTAAAATATTGGATTACGTAAATACAGCAGAGCTGATATTTTGGAGATTGTTGCACTGGAAATTTTGCATTTTTATGTAACTAGATAAACATATGGGATTTGATTTTGCTAATTCGTATTATGTGAGGATATTTATTACAGGTAATCATTCTGAGCTCAGATCCCTTTAGTCCAAAGTTCATGGTGATCTCAGCTCAGTAAGTTAGGTGTTTAGGAGCATTCTGAGCTCAGATCCTTTTAGTCCAAAGTTCATGGTGATCTCAGCTCAGTAAGTTAGGTGTTTAGGAGCATTATGGAAATTGTTAATGTAGCGCGGAGTCAATTACTGGAGTGTGATATAGACATTGCTCTTTCGGCTTTTTCGTTTTCGAAAACATAACAACGACCGCATCACTGTAACATAACAACGACCGCATCACTGTAACATAACAACGACCGCATCACTGTAACATTTCGGATAACATAACAACGACCGCATCACTTTTAACCAATATTCAGATCCCCCTGTTTATCCAACCAGCATCTTTTAGCCCTATTATGTAACCCTTCTCAAAGTCTGACAAATGTTTGTAACGTCGTCGAATATGTCTTAAAGGCATCTTTCATTACGGTGTCATATTATAAATCCATTGCAATGCACGATCGTATATGCTCGTCTGTCATCACACCTGCCCTTTTACATTCTATCAGCTGTAAACTTCAGGCGCGGACTGTATCGCTCCACAATGCTGAATGATGCTGCAAGTTTAATCCTTTATTTACGCAACTTAAGAAACCACATTTGCATGCTGTGTTTCGAAGTTGTGGCTCAATGTTTTCTCGGTGCATATGTATATTATTTTAAAACAGTGTGCGTGCACAATGTTCCCAGACAAAAGGTTTTTCGATTATTATGTAATTTCTTTTAATATAGACGACGCAGAATTCCATGAACCAAATCATAAGGCTATTGAAGTTTCCTGTATCGTAGTTCTCGAGATAACAAAGCAGGAAATAAAACATACAGAAACTTATGAAAATTTGATTAAGCCATGCAACCTGAAAATGAATAGATTGAGGATGTGGTGGAATTAAGGATATCTGTGCCTAATTATGTATTGAGGAATGAAATGGTATAAAACTTTCACCAATTTCATTGTTAGACAATATCGATCAAAGAACGATGAGCGATACGGCCATCGATATCAAAATATGAAAAAAGGTGAAGGCCATTAGGCTTATTCTTCATTTTAAGTTGATGACAGTAGTAGAATCAGGTTAGTTGTGTGTACACTGTTTCCATCTGTGTTGATATATCTTTGCGGATCAGGCGTTTTGAATAGAATTAGATATAACTAGCTTGCAAATGAAAATGAAGCAGCAAAGTAGACTGGAGGTTAAAAATAAACTATACATACTACGCTGTCTCAGATTTGGTGGGAAAACAATAATTGGAAATTTTCATTAATTTATCAAAATATTAAAAAATAAATAAAACAAATGCAAGCATAAACATAAATAAGAATCTCATCATCCCGCTTTGATGCTGCAGCAGAGTTGATAGGCACAAGCCTTTTGTTGTTGTTATTATCAGATGTAAAGAACAACTGCAAACAAAACGTTACGGACGTCTTTTAAATCACTCAAATGAACTACAAGTTCTCCAGATGAATGAATACGATAATTTTAAAGAATAAAAACTATTTATTTAGTTAAAACTCAGCCTTAAACTAGCATAAAATTAACACAAACATTATCAAAATAAGCGGAGAACACTGCGTTCTAAACATTAAGTGAAAAGGAAAAAAGAATATTTTTCTTAATAACAATAATAATAAGCGGAGAACACTGCGTTCTAAACATTAAGTGAAAAGGAAAAAAGAATATTTTTCTTAATAACAATAATAATCTTTGCCTTCCAATCACAAGAAAAGTAATAACAAAAGTGCAAGTTGAAAATCATAGGTGAAGTAGTAGTTAAGCTTAAATAACGATATTAATTACTGTACAATCTTTAACAATTAGAGTCTACTAATCTGAAGTTGCATAATTCGCCCTTTAAGAGGAATTCTGTGTCAACCGACAGACCCGCTCTAGCAATATGTTTGCCATCGACATAACCTGGCAAACTGCCAGTTTTCAAAAGGCCTGCCACTCGACGCTCTATAAGATGGTCGTGTTAAATTAAAACACTGCATTGCTTATCTAATTTGCTGATTTAAATGCAATGCATACATTTAATGATTTTAATTTTATCTTTAATAATATCTGTAACTGCGTAATTTTTAATACACGGAAATTACATGAAGCTCACGTGATTTGTAGTTCACAGAGTGAAAATATTCATAAACATTTGCATTATTGAAAAAAATAAAATATTTTTATTTATAAATAAAATATTTTTCTTACACCATGCATTACATATTTTGGAATGGAATAATTGTTTGCACAACCATTTGCAAACAAGTCTTCATTAACCCTTTGACTACTAACGGGACATGCATGTCCTACTGAAAGTTTAAAAATGACTGCTGGGATAAAAAGTACTTAGAATCTTCTCACTGTTGGGGATCGTCTTCCAATAGTTGGAAAATCGAGACGCCGCCGTGCTCGTTGTACACAAATGAACGTAGCGAAAAGAACAAATATGATTTGCCCAATGTTTCACGTTGGGTTATGCAAAGAATGTTTTTACCCTGTACCATACGATGTAAATCTATCTCATATAATGAAATTTTCCAGAACAATAGGTGTGCTTACAGTACGTCGATCGTTATGTGTGGGACTTAATGTATCCCACCATTAACTACGGCTGGGACATACGTGTTCCAGCCTTTGACTTGAAAACCATTTGTCAAAATAATCCCAAAGATTAAGGTAAATACCCAGCATATAAATTCTGACATGCTTAAACTAAAATTATATGATTGAATGAATCTTGGTTAATGACTGTTTAGTTTGCTTTTACATGAAAGATTCTGAAGCAAATTTTTATTTTTCGTAGGTTGTACTAATACTGTCTCACTTGAGGCCTCAGTATAGCTTCTCTAACGGCAGGAAACAGGGGTCAGCAAATGTGATGGGAATGGTGGCCATGGCCATTGCATTACCTCCACCTTCTATCAACGAAGTAAGATTGGAGAGCGACATGTTCGTGACGCGTCTCACATTCGAATTTCGAGTGGCACACTGTGAACCTAGGTAAGACAGAACTTGAAAATAAATGTCAGTAATTACTGTTGCCAAAGTTTTATTCTAATTTTCCACTATTTCTTCCCAGAGTATCAGAACTATTGGATTACACAGCAGACGAACTGACGGGTAAAAATATGTACGCACTTTGTCATGGGCAGGATGTACAGAGATTAAGGAAATGTCATATTGACCGTGAGTAAACGGTTTTCTTTATTCGAATCCATTATTTCTTTAAACAAAATTATGTGTATAAAGCTATAAAGAAATAGATTTTTGCATATTATCAGTTAATTTGTAACTGCATTAAAATATATTTTCGAAATCTTTCTACTAATTTTAATAGAACATGAAATGAATAAAGTTAAGTTAAAACTAATACAACAAACAACTGTTGTATGCCATCTGACCCTCCATAGTTTTGTTTCACATATATTTCTTGCTAAGTTCCCACATATCTTTCTTGAACAATCCATATAAAAAAACTCCTGATATTTTGAAATGAACGCGCCTTTTTTCAGGGCATTTCCTTGAATTGCAGTCAAGATCTGGCTGAATGCCTAAAGCAAATTTTCAGTAAAGCATTATGTTAACTATTATATTATTATATATATTACGATAGATGATAATATTTCTTAAGAATAGAGTATACCATTATTTTCTGGATACTACAAGAAACTATTAGATACAAATATCATAAAATATACAAAAAAGAAGTTTCAGTCTTTCATCTGAGTTTCATGAAAAATGTCTCATGACACAACTAAAGTGTTAAAGACCTGTAATAAGAATTAAGTGTTTTTTTTTTTTTTTTTTAAACTACTCTACAATCTAAATACAATTTTAAAAGTCTCATAATCTAAGATTATAAAAATAATTTGGAGTTATCTGATTAAATTATGATTTCAAGGACAAAGATACGAAATACAGCAATACAAAGCAATATCTGAGCTATTCACTTTGAGTTAAAACTTCCAAATAAGATATAAAACGGCACGACATTTTAATTCCAGGCAAGATGACAGCAAGTACGTGGCGTAACTGCATGGAAATGACGTGAATATTTGTATTTAAATACAGCTGAGTTAATATGTTTATATATAGGACTCAAACTGTTACAGATGGGTGTTACACGGATTTACTACCTGAACTGTGGGGAGAACTTTTCCTAAAAACTTAAAAGTTTTCAAAATAAAATCTTCCATACTATAGTTAACTCTCCCTTATACGTGAGAAATTCCCTGATACACACGAAACCAATAGTCCAAACTCTAAATATATTTTGATATATTTCTGAATCAGTACAGTGACCAAACGTCTTCAGTGAAATGAAGAAATACATGACAATTACATGAATTATCGACTATGATTCTACAGTCGAAAATACGGTCAAAAGAGCAAGAACTACTCCCCATAATGCCTACTGGTAATTTTGTATACATCCTGCATATCGTTCATTCTACTCAAGAATCAGTTTATTCTAAATCGCACTGATTTAGCACTTCTCATACTATCATGTACGTGAGATCTTCATGCGGACTTAATATCACAGTAGAAAAGCACTTTTCTGGAAACTTTAAGGTCATGAGTTCTGTACTTGATCCCTAGAACTTTGCGTTTCAACTGTTATTCTGGACATATTTTTGCATTATATCTAATGGTAGAATGTTCATTTATTTATATTCTCAATTTATGTTTTATTATAATTTGTTTTTCTTTGCATTGCATTATACTCGCAAGTGTAGTACTACTACAATTCACTTTCACGCCAACAGAGGGCAGCACTAGCAATCTCAAGATCTTATCCTGTGCATTACATTACTTTGTCACTCATAAGACATTCTATTTTCGGCCATTTGGATGATTGTACGACTGCACATAATTTCTAAATAACGTAAAAGGCTCCACGGCACCCGGGTGAACCATTAAATACATCCTGCTGTAGATGCCAGTAGAAGAAAGAAGTTCTAAGGCATATGTTAGTTATAGCGAAGGCAATTTACATCTGTGCATGCACTTTGGAGTAAAATATAAGTATTGAAACTTAACGGCAGTGTATTAACATCATACTTTAAGAGAAAACTGAAACGTGTATTGCTGAAACTTTAGAACTATTGAAACTGATAAAATGATTAAAGTATCATGAAAATGTGCTGTGCATGTGAATATCATAAGCTATTCAAAGATGGACCAGACAGTGGTATAGAATATAGATGATCCCACAAATGTAACTGAAGAAGCATAATTGACAACAGATGACCCAAGAAGTTTAATTGATAACCCGGCAACTGAAGAATTACAGAGTAGATGAAAAAGGAGTTTAATTGAAGAAATGCTCATAAGCAAAACTGCAAAGTTTGTGCAACTCAGTCGTAACCAGAGTGCTACTCTCATAGTGAAAGATATCCTTAAAAAAAAAAAAAAAAAAAAAAAAAAAATATATTACAGAGTTAGATGATACTGCCCACTCATCTGACATAACTTATGGTGATTTTTAACTAAATTCCTAAATTAAAAGCTTCCCTGATGAGACCTCGATTTCCTAGTACATATCAAACAGAATGGGAGCCACATACTTGGCATTATTCTGGTAAACGAGTTCAAGACCTGTTTTCAGAAATGAGAATTAAGTCAGGGCAAAGATTCACAAATAGGAGGTGGTAATTTAAAATCTTTTACACCCGTTATTATACACACGTATATATTTTTACTAATAATTCTATGCATGCATATTTTTAGGATTTTAGGTTAATTAACCATTTGTTATGTTTGAAACTTTACTATAACTTCTATTTTCCATACTCCTAACCCAAATACAAATTAGTTATGGAGTGTTTAAGCCAAGGGTTTGAATGTATTAGAGTTAGAGAAGCCTCATTTGCAGTTCACATCCTAACACCATTTCTATTAAAGTTTTAGCCATTTTGCTAGCCGACTTTAATTACTCCAAACAGCTTATATAGACTATTTTGTACGTAGTGTCTGTTGACATTACTTGAATTTAAGCTTTTCTGAATACCCACAAGAGGCGAAGTTTCATTCTGTAACATAAGTAGTGTTTTCTATTGAATTTCAAGAGTTAATAGAAAAGTTATCGCAATCTCCATTCGATGTAAGATTTTTTTTTATTCAGATTAGAGTGATAATTTGCTTGTCAGTCCAGTAAGGTCTGAAAGACATTGATTTAAGATTTGATACAAGCTGAACCTTATGTACATTTTTAAGGCGCCACAGTTTAAAGTTGCCATAGAATTAAATTGCCGCAAATTGCCATAGAATTAACTTGCCACAGTTTATACTGTGATTCTGACTTGCAACATAAAGGATATTTTAGGATGAACAAATAATATGCCTCATGCAGATTCTTTACCATTCTCAACAGAAGAATATATATATACATATAAAAACCCACAACTAAATGTACCAACAAGTACATAAGTATTAATATGCTATTTGATGATCAATGCAACAAGACAGAATTAATATTATCATTGGTGGCTGACAACAAAGATAAAACTATATTTCTTTGTGTTACCCCATCACAGTGATTAACAAGGGCCAAGTGATGAGTGGGTACTACCGTCTAATCAACAAGACAAGTGGATACACCTGGCTCCAGACATGTGCTACTGTGATTTGTAACTCCAAAAATTCAGATGAGCAAAGCATCATATGTGTTAACTACGTTCTCAGGTAATTATGCAAAGAAATTTTCTAATAAATTTATATTTGTAATGCAAAATAATAATTCATGCAGTTTTACAGTAAACCTAAAATAAAATACGATTTAAATTGTAGTCTGCACGTTTACGTTTAGCCCATTTTAAAACATTTGATATAAATCTATAAGCTTCTTTGTTGGTAAGTTCAATAATTAGTCATTATTAAATAATTCCTTTGAATTTTTTGTAAACTTTATTTGATACTTACCTGGACTCACTTCATCTTTGAAATTAAATAAGGACACAAAATAAATAGGATTTAGACTTTTACATGCAATGTTAGAATTTTACAGTTTGACGCTTCATACTATACTGAATTCTTCTGCCCTTTTTCTCTCACATATGTTGTCACACACACAATAATAATAATAATAACACAAAAAAAATTTGAAATGTTTGAGATTTTAAATTACGTCCAAAGAAGCGTTTTTTTAACGTTTTGTGTGTTACCTTTATTTATTAAATATCATGTTCTTTGCACTTAAATCATAAAATTTAGTTTACTAGCAATGTCGCAAAATAATTTTAAAATGAGCATATCTTTAGAATTTCCGATACACAGTTCGACGCGCTGGAAATAAAAAGGTCCTCCCCCCTTGTAGAGTGTTGCCATTGTTTTGCTTTTAAATCGTTGAGTTTGTTACTCAAAAATGCGTTAAAGTTTTACAAAATATGAAATCGATAATAAAACAAATTTCAAATTTGGGATTTCAGATGCCCATATTCGCAGTAGGATTACGTCATTCAAAATTGGATGGCTCTAGATACCGTTGTTTTATCACAATGTGAGAAATATACATACATTTATGCAGATTTTTCATTATTTAATTCCTTTAAATATAATGCAAGACTCTAACATTTTGTGGCAACAATTTGAAAAGTGAACCGACATTCCAATGCAAAATGCCAAAACGAAATCCTTCTGGATTCAAATCCCTTTAGACTAATAATACATAAACAAAAATAAACATCCGGCACAAGGACAGTGCAAGAGAATGAAAAAATAAAACAAAAATATTTTTAAACTTAAGCTTTTACTTAGCTTACTCGTGAAGTCTGCCGCTCCGATAAAAGTTTGCATAGATTTTTAAACTAGTTCCAGATAAGCTATGGAGCTCAAATTTTGAACACACACTGCCTGTGGATGACAATGTGGTGAAACAATTTTTAAAAAATCTCATATAGTTTTCTGAATCCTGAAACGTTTTTCATACATATCTTTCTTTAATGAACAAATTAAAATTCTCAGAATTTTACTGTTTGCATCATCGAATAGGATGGAATAAATTCTTTTTAAAGAAATTTGTATGGGATTTTAAACACAATTTCTATTTTTTTGCGAATTTTCGAAGATTGCTGGAATTTTTTCAGTTATTTGATGCTTATTATTTTTAAGTTTTAATATAATTCTAACATAAAAATACATAATAACATGTAATTTTAACGTAAGATTATCTGTTATAAAGTTCAGAAGTTTTTACAGATTACAAAACAATTACTTCACCCTCTTCTAAAACGAGAATGATAAAATATTAATTGGACAATTTTCTACATTAAAAAAAATATGCTGTAGTGTGAAAAAAAAAATTTGTTATTTATTGAGCATCAGTTCATAACACAATTTTAAGGTTATGATAGTCATCACATCATACTATTTATCTCCATCCCCTTACTAGAAAGAATTATTTGGAAAACAAAAATATGCTTATTACAGTTGTTTTCTGCCTTTTTTTAAATGCTTTTTCTAACATTAATTCTCTACACACTGTTCACTTACAATTTTATATCATGAATAATGAAAGCATGGACACCGTGTAGTAAAATTTTACGTTACAAAAGCTTTCACATATGCTCTAAAATATTAATAATTCTTTTTATTATTCAAAGCAGTTTTCAGATGTTTCTGACATGCAAAGAAGGTCTTAACCTTTAAATTTTTCTTAATAAATAAATAATATGCATATATATACACAAATACATATGTAAATTTACTTACCTAAAAATAACAAGCAGTGAAAAATTATTGATAATATTCTATAGATAATTCAATAAAGAAAAGTTATAGATGAAGTTTTTGATCACCAATAGTAAAATATTTGATGAATTCTTGATAACCAAAAGCGAACCTTCTGAAGAAAATTTTAAATTTCTTGAAATCTCCAAAACAACTCTGCATCACCAAGTATAGTTTTATTTGCATAATTTTAATTTTCAATTCAAACAGAAATTAACCTTTTTTCAACAGTATGTACTTCTAAGTCAACAAAACCATTTACAGTTTTTCATTGGGGATGGTACTGATTAATTTCCAATATTTTTAATGCTTTATCGACTCATTTTTTAAATAAAATTACAATTTGCACCTTACTTGTGATCTGCCAGACTTTAAGAACTTTTATCAATCGATAGTTTTTAAATTAAGAAAATACTCACACAAGTTTCACCTCATAAACTATTACAATCTGTCCTTTGAAATAAATTATAATTAAATTTTTACATTTTATTAATATTACCTCACATATATATACATATACGTAATATTTCGGAAAAGTTGCCATTATGCATTGTAGATACATAAAGAAGAAACTTGCAGAAGTGGCCTCATTAAGATACTCTTTTCATTTGTAGTTCACAAACCTATTTCAATGGTACAACTGAAACTTTTAGATATAATTTTGAAGACAGACAGAGCTGAAGTCTACTTAGCAAGTGAAGCAGAAATAAAATGCACTGTATTCTCAGATCTCTTTTGATTTCAAACTGAAAAAGTTATAGTTTGGGTTTTCTCATTGGCCATTAAAGTTTCAGTATTGGTTGTTTGAATTTCGCAAATTATCTGCATCACTAGCATTATGTAAAAGATAGAAAAAGAAATATCAGCAATTAATAGTTTCATTACAAATTTTTAAACATGTACAAGGTAACCAAAAAAGTTCTTGCCGTTTCGGATATGACACTGGAAGAGCTAACCCCAACATAAAAACAGTCGCCAAACCTGGTGATGAAGTGGTTAGGATGGGAGTCCAGACACTGACCAAGAGTATAAAAGCGTGTTGCATCGGTACTTCAAATATAACTCACACAGCGACTGATTGAAAGGGACACGTCAAAGGCACTCATTTAGAGCTGTTTGCTGTATGATTTTAAAGTAGACCTGTCAGCAGAAGATATAAGTCACCGGATTTGCCAGGCCTTTGGGGATGATGTCGTTAACAAACAAACAGCTAGGCAATGGTTCCAGAAGTTTAGGTCAAGGGAAATGTCTCTTAATGATGCACCACGCAGCGGTCAGCCACAAACGCTGGATTATGAGGCCCTGTGAGCAGCCAGAGAGAGTGACAGTAGCCAAAGATGTGGTGAGCTTGCTGCATGCTTTCAAGTATCTGATGAAACGATCAGACTTAGAAAAGGCATACAAGCTGAGCAAGTGGGTATCCCCCTCCGATTCAAACAAGCAACAGTGTGTCGCTGTCTGTCATTGCTTACTCGGCACCGCAGTGCATTCATATTTGATCGAGTACTCACCAGCGATGAAAAGTGGTCCAGTATGACACACCCAGGCATTCCAGACATTGGTTGTCATCACTGGCCCTCTGTGCCACACACTGCCCGACCTTATCTCTCCCCACACAAGATCATGCTCTGTATCTGGTGGACTGGTCACCACTAGTGGCATGTGGCTCCGGAAGCCAGGGACACCATCCAGCGACTGGGCTGGGAGACAATACCCCATCCACCCTACTCCCCAGACCTCACACCAACAGCAATCCAGGGAAGAACCTTTTCCGTTCCCTTGACAACCATCTTCAAGGGAAATCCTTCAACAACTGGGCAGACATTTTGTTTCCAAGACTCTCGAGTTTTACCACAATGGCATCTCACAGCTAGCCACTCACTGGCAAAAGGCACTGAATGCCAATGGCGATTACTGTTGCACCACTTATGGTAAGTAAATTGTCTCAGTTAATACTTTGTTTGGGGAAGAGTGGCAACGCCTCAATTTATCGTGAGACCATGATTAAAACAGTAGTTTAAAGATTTTTAAGTAGATACGAGTTTGTAATGAAGCGGTTTGTTGCAAAATAATTGAAATAAAATGTTTATGCCTCTAAAAAACTTTTTGTCCGGCGATTGTCATTTATCTGATTTAATGAGTATCTTTAGTCTAAAGTAACGGACAATTAATTTAAGGATTAGTGGTGATTATTTGTATTATGACTTTTTCTTACTGACTGTCCAAAACAGCAAGAACATTTTTGGTTACCCTGTAGATTTATAAATCACCTTTTAACACATATAAACAAAATATATGCTATTTGAATAGTTTTTGTCTTTAAGTTTTTCTCGATATCCATAATAAGCAATGATTTTAATTAAATAGCCAATACTGATAATCGTTCTCGAATATCCGCTCAAAATCAGCACCTGAGTCCTTTTTGCACATGTGCATTTACACAGGCACATAGCTAACTGCAGGAATTAATGACACATGTAAGTGATTCATGATGATTCAAATAGCTTCATTTTTTTCAACAACCGGTGAAGAACATAATAAGAAATAAAAAGACAAACTCTACATAAAATCATTTAGTTTGACAAATGGCATGTTAATGATGTGCATGTGCATTTGCACACTGGCAGCTTAAGAAAATACAGAAGGAACACTGCTTCCAAGCATTCTTAAAATGATAAAACTAGCTAGAAGCCTGCCTAATAAAACTGCATAATATTTCTGAAAAAGATTATAGTTGTAATTTTATTTAATATTAATACTGTTACTTAATATACTGAAATTTACAGTGGTGTGGAGTATGAAAACTGCATCTTGGACTGCAGCCAAATTCCCAACTCTGAGAATCTGAAACCAGACGATCCCAGTAATTCAGAAAGAGAATCCTCGCCGGACACAGATGCTAGAGGTCTGTTGTTTTGAAATTTTCAATAGCAAATTTTCCCTTAATTTTAAATTGCATACACTGTACATTAATCACACCTTACACAAAAGGAATCAAATAATAATACCAAGAGCTTCAGGAACATAACTTTAGAGCTCATTTAAATAGACCTTTTCAAAGTGAAATCCAAATTTTCTGAAATAAACGTAAGGAAAATTCTTTTATTAATTTGAAGCCTCGTACTTTATGTTTCATTTCAAGTACTGATTTTAACAATAATTTAGAAAATTACAATGATACAAAATTAAATTTTCGGTTTTCTGTTTTCAATTCTAGTATGGAAAAAATATGATTTGAACTCACAAATAAATATTCACTCTTTTGTAGAAGATCCTCCCTCAAAAGAAGGATGCTGCAGCCCCAAATCTGCAACTGACGGACGGTGCTCTTCAACCGCAGGCGGTGAAAGCAACCATAGTGATCATCTTACTCAACTGGTTAAACATTCTGATCCAAACAGAGTAAGTATCTTCCAAGGACGACTAAAATATAGTAGAGTATCATCTAATTTCGTCCTGTCTTCAGCTTTGAATCCAACAGCACAAGATGATAACAACAAGTACAAAAGATACTAAAACCAGCTCAGAATTGGGAAAAAAAAAAAAAAACTAAAATGTTTAATGTAAATTTAACATCTGCTTCTTGTTGCCGACAATTCAATAGTATTTTAAGCATTTACAAAATACATATTACATTAGAGATTTAGAACCTGGCTTCCATACTAGCATGCCTTCTAACATTAAAGCAAAAGCGAAAACTCACCAACAATAATAACAGCACTATAACAGATAGAATATGAATGTCACAAAACTCTTGATAAAAGTTGCAAACACACCTTCACTTAATTTTGATTTTTCTTGTTATCTGAACTCACTTTATTAGCATTTCTAATGGAGATGACAGCAGAAGTGCAGAAAAAATGCAGCATAAGAAAACAACATGTTAATTATAAAAAAACCTAAATACTAAACAAATTAAAAATGAAGTTAATACCCCAAAAAAATCCCTTTATAAATAAATTTCCATAATACAACTCTGCATGTTGTCATTGATAAGCAATTATAAAACAACACAAATATCATAATCATGTTTGTAAAATAATTTTTAAATTATGCACATTAGAAAGAAGGTGCAAGTTTGCATTGTTTTTCAAAACAATCAGTGAAATCTGAAGCTGATAAAAAAACTGTAATATTCATATATTCTACATCCAAATTTGCCAATAACAAGAAAAGTTGCACCGACAGTTCAAGAAATCTTTCAGATACAATATTCTTTTGGATATTTTGGGTATATAACAAAACTATTCCTTTCTTTAAAACTAAAATATCAGATGAGTAATAAATTTAAAATTTTATACTCCATATTTTTTATCAGTTACTGATTTAGAAGCAATTATCAGTTTTAAATAAATAAATTACTATAATATTTAACAGCATGAAGAACTATTGACCATATATTGATGATAATTTACTGCAAATGCTTTCATTTTTAATAGGATTTAGGAGCTTAAAGAGTTCATTGCATCACTATCAATTTTTAGTTTGTAAAGATCTCACAAATATTTTCTGATATGAGAATGGGTTTTAACTAGTCTGACAAGAATTTTCAAATTTTGTACACCTAAATATTACTTTTATTATAGATTCACCCCCCAACAGACATAAAACACAATTAGTATTTATTAAGAAATGGTTTACATACAAACTATGAAACATGTTATAGATTTTGCAGCTACTCACAATATACGGACACACTACTCCAATGACTATACAGTGAGTCTACCTACCCTAATCTTAACAGCTCTCTGCAGTTATCATAGATTAAATAGAAAACTTAACAATATAAGCACATTTTGGTAGAGCAACACCAGAAATCAATCATAAGTGACACTGAATCCTAACATAATCAACCGCACGGGAACTATAATTAAGCATAGAAGCTGAACATTTACCACAGACTAAGGCAATGCAGTTTGACTGTAATTACAATTTTGCATGTTTAAGTGCACATTTATGTACTTCTAGAGCAGATGAGCAAAATTTAAGTGTAGTAAAAACAGGCCAACGAATAACTGAAAACCGTTACAAATTGAACATCAGTATTTAGCCACCAGTAACAGTCAAAACTGGAGTTGGATGAGAAAAATAAAAATACATAATCAAACAAAAAACAAAGAGAATTAGGGGTAAAAAAGTTACCTGTGTTTTTCAAATGAATTAGTGTTAAATACTTTTATATATATATTGATATCAAATAGCAATTTTTTTTTTAGTCATCTTTATCTTCAAATGTGATAAAATTTTGTTTTAAGGTATGAGAAATTCCTCTCCTGATATTCGAACTGTCTGATTTTACATCATTTTGCCATTTGATTATAGATGTAATAAGCTTTGTATATCAACCAGCTGTCTACTTCTGTAAATGATTTGTCCAAACACGGAAGAATCAACCTATTACAAATTTTGTACATAAATAAAAAAGAATTTTACTCATCATTCTTGAATTTTTTTAAAGAACTATAGTATAGCACAGGGTTTCTTAAACTTTTTTCAGTCGTGACCTCCTTTTATCACTAAGATTTTTCCACGACCCCCCAGGATCCCATAATATATACAAAAATTCTGTGAGACCCCCCATAAGTATTATGCAAATTTGACACACGCATGAGTGAAACTGTCAATTTTTTCACTTGTATTGTAATATACTATTGCAGTTTAGGTCATAACTTTAATTTCGAAATTTAAGACATAAAACAATGTGAAAATTTTAAATATTTAACAAACAAAATGACAGCGTCACGTGCAAAGCAAGGAAAATAAACATTTATATTATAAAAAGAATGCGTCAAAATGTTTTCGTTTTTTTCTTTGTCTGTATTGTCTTATCATTATCTATTTTCAGATCCACTGTGTAAAAATATTTCGTAATTGTAAAATTATTATAATAAGAAATACCAAAACTGCTAAAATTTTTGGTGACCTCCTGCTGCAGGTCAGCAACCCCCAAAGGTTTTAGAAGTTTAAGAAACCTTGGTGTAGCACTCAAGTAGTCTTCAGGAATTTTGCATGGTGGACTGTTAAAATTATTTTTGTCTTAGCGGTGATAAATTCCAAAATAAGCATAATAATTTCCAGTTCCTTCCTATAAGCAAATTTTCTGAGAATTTTGTTGTTTAGATAGTAAAGAAGCTTGTGATTAACTTTCTGTGATTATTATCTTCCAGTGTCAAAATACATTTGTAAATCGAGATCTATATTTAGTGATTAGAACTTAAACATTTGATCTTCTTAAGTGAACTGAAATCTTTAGTTAAGAATTACAGCGATAATGAGGAAGGAAACATCTCAAAGCACTTTGGTCTCAACACAAACCACACATTGGCCTCGGGGCAGTTCACTTGCATAAGAATCCTTTGATGTGGATGAGATATCATGAAATTTATCAGATAGTTTCCAGTTCTTTCAAGATGATACACTTCTTGGCTGATTCCTCAACAGAATGCAATTCATATGGCTAAGCTGAACATTCAAAGAATGCTGATGAGTCCAAGCATGCGCAGTCACAGCATATCTAAACATCTACATGACAGATCTTGCTTTTCTAGAGATTTCTTCATTGTTTCTTTTTGTGAAAGCAGTTTTTATAAATATGAGTGTACAAATAGGTACGATAAACATAAAGTAATAATGCACTTTCATCTTAATGTTTATTTCTAATTTTACTTAATGAAAGTTTATTTTTCATATTTAATTTTAATGGTCTCTGAGCCTGATATATATTGTTACTCACCAAAGCATTAACATGAAAAAAAAAGCAGATTAAAATAATTGAACAAATAAAGTTATCAGAGTCATGAAATCTTTCTTTACTGTTATGAATGCCTTGAATTTCAATTCTAAACTAATGATACTGATCAGGTTTGTAAATTTTAGCTTAACTAATGTTGTTGATCAGGTTTGTAAATCTTAGCTAGAATAAAAGGAAAAATTATTTTTTGACCCTATTAAACTAGCATGAAATCTCATTTATTCAGATAATATTCAAATTAATTTTATTTGAAATTCAATTTTCTGAAGATAGTATGTATTTTTCAGTAAATCACTTATTCCAATATATTACAAGCTATATTATCTCAGAGACAGTCAGCAAGTAGACAATGCTTTTTTGGATCCACAAAAAGGTTTTACTCAAAAATCTTCAAAACAGAAAATATATTGTAATTGTGGCATAAGTTTTCAAACTTGAAATGGCTATTATTAATGTTAAAATAAAATGTTCTATAGCAGACAATATATTTTTCTATAAAATAATACAAATTACAAAATTAACATATATTTGTGAAATATATGTTAATTTGTAATACCATATTATTTCTAATTTAAGCTGCATGTTTCATTCAAATTTTTATGTAAAATTAGGGTGCAACTAAAATTCAAAGCGAATATTTTAATATCTTATTTCAGTCGATCTCTCATTTCTTATGATCAGGTCAAAAAATTATTAAGCACGCACTTATTTTTTAAATATCACAAAATTAATAATTTAATGATACCAAAGATGATATACTTTGGTGCAAAAGTGAAGATGAGAATTTTCTGAAAGTAGAGATCATGTAAGGGGGGGGGGAGAAGTATATCTGAAAAAGATTCTTAATAAAATAGGTAAGTACCTATTTATGAGAATAAAAGTGTCTCTTATTTTTCAATTCTTCTCATAAAATCGTTTTCATTCCTTAACATTTTTTCCAATTTTAAAATGCTTTGGGATTTAAATTTGAAGCAATATGATAGTTAAATATTTAAAATGCATTTCAATTTTTTAAAAAACTAATATTGTTTTACTTGTTATGATTATCCATACATAAAAAATCTGGTGAGAAATAAATGAATTTTATCAAGTTATGCTTGAAAAAAATCTTGCTCCTTACTCACAATCTAAATATTTTATAGGACAGGTGCTCACTTCATGATGAGACAGTTCCTTCAGTTAATGGCTTTGACATAGATCAGAAACAGCTTGATTTAGTTGAAATACCCCGCTACCAAAACTCAGTCACGAAACATTCAAGCCATCAGACATGTACAGATGGAAGAGTTAAAAAAAGAAGACTTGTTAGCAATGGACTATTAATTAATGATACAAGTATTAATACCAATGATCGAAAAAGCCCCTCTGACAATACCACATCTAGTCTGAATAATGCCACTAGTCCTGTAGACAGTGGAAGAACTTTAGTTGACAGGCTTACTCCTGACAGAACAGGTCTGAGTTCATCAGATAATGGCATTTGTCACCCATCAACAACACCTCCTTCTTCAGGTGAAATGGGTAATGACAAGATAGACAGACCTTGGAAAAGATCTCCAAATAACAGCGTAGCTGCAAGAAGTACTTACAACTCTAGCTCAACAATGTCTGTTAAAGATTTAGAAGATGTGATGAATAAGCATCTACCTTCACAAGAGGGACATGATTCCTTAGGAAAGAATGGCAGCAATCAGCAACAAAAATCCACAATCCAATGGATAGGTGGTCCCCAGACTACGCTGCCTGCTTCTTCCTTGCTACGGCAGATATATGTTAACAGAGAATCCGTAATACGATCTGGGACTCACATAAGTCGACCAGCATATTATGGAGATTCACAAGGACCATTGCCCACTCCACCGGGTAATGGAAGTGGTGGAGATTCATATCCGGACCAAAGTCAATTTATTCTGCCAAGTAAAATGACAGCAGAGTCCTATGGTGTCATCACTGGGTACTCTACAGCTCCTGTCACTGTAACCAGTTACATGGACACTTATTCTGCCATGACACCTCCGGCCTCAGTTTCTCCAAGGGACAAATTTCACCCAGGTATAGCAGATACTGCCGCTTTTAGTGAAGCAGCAGCTGCCGCAGCTGCGGCTGCAATGCCTCACATGCATCATTATGTATCAGATGGCACATTGCAGCATCTTCCTCTCAAGCCTCAAGTATTTGTACATCCTGGTACCCTGGATCCTGCCGCTTACGGACATTCCCACGCGCAGCAAGCTCTAAGTGCAGAACAACAGCAACAATTGTATGCTCATCATGCAAGTGGGTTTCATTTATATCACCCATCTAACAGCAAAACATCACAGCATACAGTGAATGGAACATCCTGGTATCCACAGCCAAACACATAACTGGCCATGAGCCTTGTGAGGGAAAGTTTTCTCTTTTTGTCATGTAACATAAATATTCGCCTTGAAATTTCAATTTAGGGATCATAATTTAGCCCCCAAAATAAATTTTGGACTTCATTATTGATGTTATACATAAAAAACAGAGGGATAGATGAAGAAGCATTCAGAATTCACTTTAGCTAAAAGCTTGGTTAGTAACATAGATGTTTTTTGTAAAAATTTAGAAAAAATTAAGTTTATTTCAAATATTTTCTTGAAATTTTAATCACAAATAATTTTCTCTTTCATCTGATGAAACCTTTTTTTTTAAAATTTTAATTAAAAAGGTACATGTATAATTTACTGCATCTTTTATCAAAAGCTATTTCATTAAATTACAGATGCTATCATATTAATATCAAATGTCTGTACTTCTACACAAATAATGCAGTTTCATTGTTTTTACTATTCTTTTTTTTTTCAGTCAATATAATGCATGATTTCACAACAAAATACAGAAGGATATATGCATTTAAATCAATAGAACTAGTCACTGTAAACAATCTTTTTTCCTTCCCATAAACCATTCTGCAAAAACATCAATGTATTTTCAAACATATTTTATATGTAATTGTGAATGAAATATGATTCAAAAAATAGAAAGAAAAAAAAAAAAAACTACCTCCAATATGCAATATTTGAAGACGAAAAGATTCCAAATTAATGATTTGTTTTTTAGTTTTTCTTTTATTTGCATTGAAATAGCAAAAGATGAAATTTTCTGTTATATGCGACTTAAAAATACATTATTGCCATTTTGCATTTTAAATTGATTGCTGTTTGCAAAGTGTGAACTAAATCTGTAGTTAAATACTTCACAGAATTTAAATTCTATGCAATATAACATGGTATTTATGAAATACCTGTAAGCCTACTATGCAAATTTTAAAAATTGCTTAAGAATCATATTTCACATCCCAACTTTATTTCATCACTCTTTAGTTTTACTTTAACCCTCAATCAAGTGCACTGAATATGATCAGTACTGATGATGGATGTAAAAAAATAAACGTATTTAATAAGATTTATTTTGCTTGGTTCCCATTTCATCTATGGTCTTGTATAACTTAAGTGACAGACTGGTTAACTTAATAGTTCTTTACTGAAAATATTTAATTATACTAATTGTAAGCACTGTTTTAATAACAAAAGATTTAGGAAAAATCTTTTTTCCATGCAATTCAAAACCGGTTATTTTGAAGAAAAAAAAAGTTAATGTGTTTCACTCAATCAAATTGAGGGTTGTGTAATTTTGATCTTGTTATGTTTGTTTCTTATCGTTGTACGTGTTACCTGAATCTATTATTATTATTAAAAATTTTAATAATAAATTAAATACTTCAAAAATGTTTAGTGTTTTCTTTTTTATAGCATATTAAACTACCAAATGACCAAAAATAAATTCCACTATCAGATTCTCAAAAAGTGGTCTTTTGATTGCTATGTTGAGCATGAGTGCTGATACTCAGACCAATGTTAGCATAAAAATTTACATACAAAACCCACGAAAATGAAAAATCACATAAAACTTCAAAACAAGAAATACATTTCAAGGTTGCACTGCTGCTTAAAGGGCTGTGCAAAATTATAAGCCTGAAAAAGCAAGTACGAGTCAAAAAGCTTGGTAGGGAGATTTAAACTGAACAATCCTAGATAATCTCTCACTATTTCTCAGAATAAGTATGACTTACATTCCTTTGTTCTTGACAGCACACAAAAGTGCAGTTAATGAGAATATGAGATTTACATAATTCTACATGATCCATGCCTGGCTCTTTGGACATGTAGCTAAGTGCTTTTCTTATCTGAAAGGTCTTAAGATGCATTTAGATGACATTCAAAGGTCAAGGTTTCACACATGGACTTAAACTGAGACTTTTAAATATTTAAGGATATTACTTTGATAAATATTACCATTACAAATTCCTTGATAATTGCGTAAGAACAAATGTTAGATTCTCTCATACCACATAGCAATTGCAATAAATGGAAGGCAAGAAAATAAGCAAAGAAAATGCTGTTGTAACACACTTTATCATTTGTTTAAAATGAAATGAATGTGCAATTGTTAATTTAAAATAAGCTGCAGTCAGCCAGTATACAGTAAAAACTTATTTAAATATGTATAGATTATACCACTTATTTTCATGAGAAATTATGCCATTTGCAAAGAATATCAACTACAAAATGTCCAACAATATGATTTGTGTCAGCATATTCATGAAAGAGCAGTCCGATATCTTGAATGGGAAAGCAATTCTGACAGGAATGGATGTCTCAAAGAATGTCATCTCTTGATTGAAAAAAAGTTACCAAATCCAAAAGAACAGCTTTAATGAAATGAGTGTATGACAGCTTTAAATGTGTATTACAGCAGGAATACAACAGGTATAGACGATCACTATGTGTCTGCTTCAGGAACAAATTTAAATGTTATAACTGTATCAATAGCTGCAGACCTTGAGAATACTACATGTAATTCACATATCAGCTTGAAACTTCAACAGAATTATGCTCAATTATACATATGGAAACCAGTCAAAAGACTTTGTTATCATCAAACCAGATCAAAACCTACATGAAGCATCATAAGTAAGACCATTAGAAATGATCACTGGGGATTTCCAAGACAAATCTTGGTTCATTGCAATACATATTCTGTGCCATAAAACGGTGTACATTTTACATTAGAGTTTCTTATGGCACAAAGGTTTGCTCTTCATTATGCTGGTGCTATCTTCCATTCTGCACAGGATGCCTGAAATGAGTTCGACCTGTTTTTTAACTTGCGACCACCAAGTTTCTGGGCTGAAGGGTTTGAAAAACTACCAAAATGTTGTCTGAATCATAGATTTGGGTAGTGATTACTACCTGCACTAGAGGTACTGCTTTCATGCCCCCTTAAATTTATTAAGAACTTTTTTTGGTGGAAAACTTTCATTACAACCAGATATGATTTCAGAAAATCACCTTGGACCTTTCTCCTGAACAAATGAAGACAGCTATAACCTAGTTTGCATGGGCTATTACATAAGTCAGCAGAAACTTATGCCAGCAACTACGAAACTTCGTCTGTTGCAAAACTTCTCATATACACCTGAATTTCCTGACCTGGAATTCTTTTAATTCACTCTGATCAAGGAATAAATTTCACTTCTGCTTAAAGGGCTGTGCAAAATTATAAGCCTGAAAAAGCAAGTACGAGTCAAAAAGCTTGGTAGAGAGATTTAAACTGAATAATCCTAGATCATCTCTTAGTATTTCTCAGAATAAGTATGACTTACATTCCTTTGTTCTTGACAGCACATAAAAGTTCAGTTAATGAGAATATGAGATTTACATAATTTTACATGATCCATGCCTGGTTCTTTGGACATGTACCTAAGTGCTTTTCTTATCTGAAAGGTCTTAAAATGCATTTAGATGATATTCATTAGCTTAATGGGAATTATTAAAGATACTGAAAGGATAAACATTAAATATGAAGAAAAGAGAAGGATAGCAACTGCAAGAAAGGAGACTTAAATAAGAATATAGAATCTCTAACATCACTGATATATCATAACTAAATTGCACTCAAGTTAGAAAAGTGCATTTGATATGATCAAGAGACTGCATGAACATACACAACGATTTCCTAATAAACTTAAAATAGAACATTGCAAATGACTTGTTTCTTATAATGAGGGCTTGTTGTTCCTGATTTTTGGCACTGAAATCCTAAAGAGGTGATACAGGAAATTTTCGTAAATGTTTGTATTTCTTAGTATATTTATTTTCATCTAATTTCTATTATTGAATTTTTACATATTTATTTAGAATATTTTGCAGTTTAATCACTGTATAATTTTTAATTTGTATCATATGTATGTGTTTAATAATTTCTTTGTTAATTTACTATAATTCTATTGTTAATGTAAATTCTGTTAATTCAGAATTAAGAAAGAATACAGCCTAAAGAAAACTACAGATATAGGATACTGACATTTACTGCACCTTAGAGATATATGACAATTACTTTCAAATATGGCAAGATTCTGGAATTTTCAGACAGTACATTCTCAATGTCTTAGATCAGTTTTTAGAGAATACTCTACAGCAAGGATGCCCAACCCATAGCTCACATTACACATCTGGTCTCTTCTCAGTCTTGCAAAGTCAAGTGATAAGAAGGGAAACATAAAGTTGAATTCTATTTATACCGCACACTGAAAGGCATGGCCTACTCTTCTTCAGAAATTGATGAGCCAACATGATATTTTACACTAGATGCTGTGCAGCAGCATTGCTCTCAATATCCAGTGGCGTAAATAAGGGTATGCAAGGAATGCCATCGCATAGGGGCCCGAAGGCTTAGAGGGTCCTTAAATGTCCTGTTGAACTGCATTTACATATTTAAACTTAAAAAAACGGATTCCATTACATATATATAGAAGATTTAATTCATTTTCCCTTGATGAGTTTGGAATTAGAATTTCAATAAAAGAAGATTAGTTATTATTTTTATATTTTTTATCTTGTATTTTTTTTTTCTTTTTCTTTTCATTTTTATTTTTAGAATTTGTACTACTATAAATTCTTATTTTAATTTTGATATGTTTTGATTTTGTGTTAAAACCCTTTTACACGACTGTTAATAATCATATAGTTGAGGAATAGCCTTAATTTGACTCCAATTTACTTTTCACTTATCTTATTAAAAATCTTTAAGTATATGTAGATAGTAGAATTCGTTTTCTTTTAAGTTTTTAATGCCCCCCCTACCTATATGGTGCAGTGACGCAATTCTCTGTATGACGCAGATAGCAGGCCCTTGGAAGCACCTGAAACAGCTAAATTCAAGTGTTTGCAAAAGTTAAAATTCCAGCATTCGACTATGAAATAATAACTTCATGACCTACCCCAGTTTAGGGGTAGCAGTGAGCGGAAAATAGAAAAAGTTCCTTTGTATTCCTTAGTCTCAAACCTGAAAATTATTAAAGGCGACCCCCCCCTAAAGGAAAGGTTTCTCCTTTTGCAATCCCAAATCAAAAAGGCGGTAGAATTGAAAATTAATTGTAACTATTTATTATAAAGTACTTATTTTATATATTAATTTATTTCTGTATAATTCGCATTATGATCGAATAATCAGTAGACATATTTTCTAAGTATAAATCAAAGAAGTAACTAGGCAGGATTCTCGTACTTTGGAATGAACTTTGCAAGTTAAGAGAAATCGTGGTGTATTATTTGCAGTTTGTAATTTTCATAATATGTCATTCCGCTAGAGTTTAATTTTGCTCATATATTGAATCTCTTACTAGCTTTTCCATTAAACGCAAGTCCAAAAATCAGTCCTAATATTCAATTTGAAATTGAATTTATTAGTGTGAATGATTTTTACAATTTAATATAACATGTATTTCGTTGGTTCGCTATAAACGGCGTATCATTTTTCAAATTGTTGCCACCAAATAATTTCACCCTGTATTATTTTAAAAAAAATTAAATAAGGAAGAATCTGCATGTTTGAATTTATAATTCTCACAATGCAAAAAACGATGGCAACCCGTGCAGTCGCACCAAGGGGCAAGGTAAGGGACAGAAACATTTTGGATTTAGAAGCACAATTGACATTACAAAATGGAAAAGTTAAAGGCGATCGATTTTTTCTCTGTTTTTTACACTAATAAGCTGGAGGGGAGGGAATCATTCGTAAGTATTAATTGCTAACTCCAGAATACATGCTTTTCTTTCTTACGGACACAAAATCATTGACGTAAGTTGAGCAGTTGTGGCATGAAAGGACTTTGCCCCACCCCCATGTCGAAATGCTATTCTAGTCCAGGAAACGCAAAGAATTTATGGGGCCACATTTGGAAAGGAGAGATTTCCCGTTTGGCTTAGGGATCTTTGAATGAATTCAAGGTCCAAAAAGGGGGGGGGGTTACGACAGGCTACGAACACACAGATGCTCAAACATTTAAGTGGCCAAATATTTCAGTTAATTTCCGGCGTAAATTTAATGAAATTTATATTTTCACCCATGAGGGTAGGAAATGGAATAGATAAATATTTTTACTTGAAATAATGAGTAAATAAATATTTATCCAATTTTTCGTATCAAAATTTTCAAAATATTCTCACATTGCAGGTAAAATGCAGGTTAGGAATTCTTTAAAATCCCTAATCGAGAATTAAATCTGAAAGCACAGAACTCGTTTGAGAATTTACTTGATTTGCTTTAGAAAAGAGAAGAGCTGTAGTGTTTCTTAACCTGTAAATTACCCATCTACCAAAAATTCACACTTATCTGTAAAAGATAATTCTGAAGACATTAAATTTGCTCGTTTTGAAAGTAATATAT